GTAGTTTTATTGCAACTAATAGCCCTGTCAAATTGTGACTAAGTTCAAGAAATACGTACGAATCATCAATTATTTCTACATTAATTTTATTTTGGAAGCATAATACGTTGATCCATAAGTAATTAACTTTAATAGTCACCAAAAATTAATAAAACTAATGACCTCTGGTCGATGTTTAGAATTTCCAATCATACTATGTAATGCGAATCAGTTGGGAACTCCTCACATCTAAGTGTACTTATGCAAAGGGTTATGTAAGAAGGATAAACTTCGGTCTTACAAAGTCCTTGACTCACTTGAACGTTTCTTAGCCAGTCAATTCGCCCATCCAACACTTACTACCGACAGTTCTTACAATGAAGAAGCATTTTTACGTGCTGCAAAGTACGTCGTTCATAATTCAATTTGGTCGTTAGCTAGTGAAAGTACGATAATTGATATCCAGTTGACATTTGCCGGCTAAATTTTCGTTCGACTGACCAGGTAAGTTACACACACAACTTTAATTCATACAGCAGTTGGAATATAGTTCGATTCATGTCCATGAAAAAGTTGACGAGTAGTGACAGTGAAGAAAGTAATTAAGAAAAAGTTGAAAGCACTATTACTCATCGGTTGTTCTTATGATTCTAATGATTACACAATGAAAATCCTCAACAAAACTAAATAGTAAACAATAAAATTAGTGTACTGTTACACTGTGTTTTACAGAATTTATTATGCATGAGCTCGCTTTTTGAAAAAGAAACTAATTCAACGTTTTTACGAGATTCTCATTCTGCTTTTTTTTTTGTCTTTGAGCATTGAATAATTTTGCCTATTAACAGAACAGATAACAGAAACGTCTTTACAACACAAAAGTTCACACAAATGTTCATTACAACTAAGATAAAAACTTTCTACAGGTTCATGTTCACATTCACTTTAGAGTTCAAGGAATGGCAAGCTTTACTGAAACTAAATATCTTTATTGATCAGCATACTCATCTAATTTGCATAATTAAACAAATTTTCGATTTGACATATTGTATACCCATTAGCACATACGAAGAATGACGCAAAAAAGGAGTGAAGAATGGTTTCCTTCCTTATACTACAAAATTATTATCAACAAAATTTATAGCCATGTGCCTCTTATGAAAATATCAAGCAATTCATTTACCATATATCTACAACTATATAATTAAGCTAAAACATTTTCAAAATGCTAAATAGCAAAGCTTTATCTGATTCACAGTGAGAGGTAAATTAACACAAAATTGTATAATTACAAAAATCATCTTTAATTAAAAATAATTAAAAAATAA